GCCGCTCACTGCGGCTGCTGGCCGCTCACGCTGGGTGCTGGCTACACACGGTGTTGTAGCAGGGACTGCAGCCTACGCAGTCGCTGCAACTCACGGCAGCCCAGCTGCAGGTTTAGCTGTTGTTCAGCATCTTAGCTGTAGAGGGCAGTGTCACTGGCCCTCATATGTGGGATCTGAACCAGGGCCCTCTGGCATCTCAAGCCAGCTCTTAACCAACGCGCCACTCGGCCGGTCCTCTGATATTTTTAAAGACATGTTTTATGGCTTAGTTCATTGTCAGATTTTTAATAAATGTTTCATGTTTGCTTGATAAGAGTATATACTGGTTATACTGTGTTAATGTTATTAAATCATGCTTGTTAATTCTGTTGCTCACATCTCTTATAGCTTTATTTATTTTTTAAATGCTTGATTAATGTTTAAGAGAAAGGTGAGGAAATCTATGTGAGCAGTGTGTTGAAATCTCCCTGTATTGTGTTGAAAATGTCAGTTTCTCCTTATAATTCTGCCTATTTTCGCTTATATGTTCTGAGGATATTTTTTGAAGTGCATAGATGTTTAAGATTTTTATATCATTCTAATTAATGGAACATTTCATCCCTGTCTAGTGATTTCTCTTATCCTTAATATTAATTTTTGTTATAAAGTCTAATTTGTCTAATACTACTAGTACTATACCAGCTTCCTTTTAGTTAGTATTTGAATGTTATTTCTTTTTTCATACTTTCAACCTTTCAGTATCTTTATGTGTAGGCGTATCTCTTGTAACCAGTATGGCTGTGTTTTTAAAAATCCATTCTATTCATCTTTGGCTTTTAACTCATAAGCTGAGTTCTTTTACAGTTATTTTGGTTATTCATATAATTGGTCTTGTTTCTTACTGTTCAATTCTATATGCTTTCTGTGTACCATACCTTTTCTGTGATTTTTTTTAATTTCCTATCCCAGAAAATTATGCATTTGAATTTTTGTCTCCTATCATGCCTTATTTTGGATTTTTTTTTTTATTGAATGCAAATCTTCTTATTCATTTTTTTCCTTCTTTGCTAATTTGGAAATTGTATACAATTTTTATTCTTTTAATGGCTACATTAAAAATTTTACTATGTAGACTTTAAAGGTAGACCATTTTCTTCACTTTCCTCCTCACAAATACAAGGACTTTTAAACATTTTAACTCTGACACTTAACTTCACTTCCAACTTACATGCTGTGATTGTCCAGAATGTACAGATAGTGTTTGTTTTCACTCATGTACAATAGTTATCGCTTTGTGCTTAATTTTTCTTTCATCATAGACCTTTCATATGGGAATTTCCTTCTGCCTGACATTTATCTTTTAGGATTTTCTTTACAGTGTAGGCCTGCTTAATGTCAAACTTTTTTTTTTTAATACTTGAAAACCCTTTTATTGCCCTTAATCTTTTTTTTAAAAGATTTTATATTTTTTTTTGATTGGGGAATTGGGAGAAGGGAACAGTGTTGGGGAATTGGGGAAGGGGAACAGACAAGTTGCTGTCCTTTTGTTCTTCAGTCTAGTTGTGGAGGACGTTGCTTCACTGGCCCATGTTGGTATTATCATTGTGCTCTTCCCGGGTGAGGCAGTCACTCACTGGCCATTGAACGGCTGCTGATGGCGGCTCACAGCAGCTCACGAAAGCTCATGCCCGCTGCTTGCCAGCCCCACTGCAGCCTATGCTGTCGCCAACGACTCACGGCAGCCCAGCTCCAGGTCTAGCTGCTGTTCACCATCTTAGCTGTAGAGGGCGCAGCATCACTGGCCCTCCTGTGGGATCCGAATCCGGACCCTGCTGCTCAGAGCTGGCGTCCCAAGCCAACTCCTAACTAACGCACTACTCGGCCGGTCCAACCCTTATTCTTTTACGATACTTTTGCTGGCTATATATATTCGAGACTGATAGTTTGTTATTTTCTTCAGACTTCCATTATTGTTAAGTCAGCTGATTTCATTGTAGATGACTAGTTTTTGTTTTGTTTTGTTTTTAATTTCTGGTTGCTTTTAATATCATCTCTTTGTCTTTGGTGAATGATAATTTCATTCCTTTGTTTCTAGTTGTGGGTTTCTTATTATTTGTCTTGTTTGGGATTTGTTGGGCTTCTGAGATCAGGGTGCTTTCTTTCATCAGTTCTGGAAAATTCTCAGCTATTTTTCTTTAACTTGCTTCTGTCCCATGTACTCTTTTTTCTCTTTCTGGGACTTGAATTAGGCATATAGACCTTTAGACATTAGACCTTTTTGCTCTGTCCTCTATGTCTATGTCTCTTAACCTATCTTTCATATTTTCTATCTCTTTGCTTCTCTGTGATCTGAACCCAGACAAGATCGAGGTAGGTAAATATGAAAGCCAGATTTGCCAGGGGGCAAATGCTAATAATAGCCCTGGGATCCAGACACTAAGCTTTGGTCCATCCTGATATAGGAGAGTTGCAACTGAGATGTTTTCATTAAGACAGAACCCTTGAGGGAATAAAGCATACCATCGGACCTCCTGAAAGATGCAAACCCAGATGCTATATAAAGGAAAGCATCCCTAGTTTAAGGCCTAAAGCTTCCCATATATTAGGTTCCACTAGATATAAGCTAATGAAGAAAAACACACAAAAAAATAAGCCATCATGAGTAAAAGCACAAATATAACAAACTTCATATTTGAACATCCAGAGACTTCAGGTACTAGGAATTTTTTTTCTTTGCTTGAACTTAAAATATTAAAATATATGTTTGCTTTAAGTCACTTAGGATTCAGTTTTATTGCAGCAGGAGGGCCTTTTGGGAAATCTAGTCTGCCATACTGGCATAAGTAGAAGCCTCCGTAGTGGAATTGTTTTACTTGCTATTTAATAACTAATTAAAGCCTGGAAACAATGGTCATATTATGAGATTTTTTTTTGCAGAGCTTGAGAATAACTTCTTTTAAAGTTATTAGGATCTGCTCATTTTTTCCCAAGCTGCTAATGATGTGTGGAATGATTAAGAAAGTGGTAATTTAAGACATCCTAAATAAAATGAAAATTAGATTTAAATAGCATATATTGTTAATCAAAATAAACCGGTTTTGATATTTTTGTGTTAGAAATATATTATTGTTTTTCTTGACATGATATGTTCTGATTTTTTTTAAAGCTTAATTACCAATATTCCCTCTACCCTTTTCTCCCCTGAAATAGGCGTAATATTCATGGGGTAAGCAAAGAAAAAATAACAAGAATGTTGGAACACTATCAACGTTTTGTTTCAGTGCCCATAATCATGAGTTCTTCAGTTCCAGAGAAAATTGAACGTATTGAGTTGTGTGCATATTCTTGTGAGGACAGAAATTCTAGGTAGGTTAAAGTCCCTATGTTTAAAGTTCCAACATTAAATTGGAAACTTAATTTTTAAAAATGTGATAATTTTGGAGCTTGTGAAATCACTGACAAATAACTAAAAATAAGGTAGATGTTTGTTACTTATAGGGCTTCCATATAGTCTTACCTGACGCAGGATGTGTATGATTAGCAAGAGAAGTAAAAGTTGATATGAGTGATAACATGGGAGTGTTTTTCATTGTCCTCAGGGTTTTGTGGGTCCATGTTTATACTATGAATACTCCTGTCTTCATTATGTAACTTTCTGCTATTCCAGTATTTATATCTGTTACCTTATCTCCTCTTTGTTATTATTTTGTGTATAGTCATATCACTTAATTTCCTTAGGTATTAGTAAAAATATTCTTTCAAGTTAGTATCATAAAATTTAATTATTAATGGTACAGTTTTACTAAGTAATGCAAGTCATAGTCTTATGAAAATTTGCAATCCAGGATAGTACTGATTCTGTTAAACATTTAGGACATATAAATAATTGAATAAGTGAGTAAAGAAGAACCTTAAATATATAGAGAGGTCTGAATCTCCCGTATTTTATGATGGTAAGGGATGGAGAGGCTCAATTAAAAAGGAGTTGGGAGTTGGGAAGAGAAAATTCATAAATGCCCTTACATTGAGGAGCAGTGTTGCATAGTGGTGAAGAGCATGGGCACTTGAGCTCTGTTTCCTGACTTCAAATCCCAAAGTTTTGTAAACTGTAACTTTAGAAAATCTCTCTGTACATCATCTCTTCATTTCTAAAATGGCAATAATAACACTGCTCATACGGATCTCATAAGGATTATGAATTCACACTTTTAAAGAACTTAGAATAGCATCTGGCAAATAGAAAACTCAGTGCTAGATGTGATTTTTGTAGGAAGGCTTCATGAGAGAGGTGGGGCTTTGATAGCACCTGGAATAAAGAAAGAAAGGAAGGAAGATGAGTTGACAAATTGAATAAGGAAAAGACATTGAAGTTTAAAGTGTAATGATTAGGCAAAAGTGCTCTGAATCTGAAATTAACATCAAGAGGTAGTTTTAAAAAATTTAATAAGTGACATCTCAAATGAGAGCTCTCCTCCCTTTCATTTCTCTTCATTGTACATATCAAGTTGGTTGACTCTTTGTGACTTTGTAAATGAAGCTTAAACGTGTTCCTTTTTAGCAAATGACAAATAGGTGGTATAGAGGCATACTTAGTTTCACATATGTTAAGCTTACATAGATAGGAAAGAAGCCAGGGAGGGAGTGCCCTCTTCTGGGCACAAATTTAGAAACTTAACTTTAATATTTACACCTAAGAAACACCTTGCCTGAAAATCTCATGTTTTTTATTCAATTCAAAAAGCTTACTGCTTCCTATTATGCCAAGCATAGTGCTAGGTGTTGGGGTTACAACAGAGGAAGGGATGTGTTCATAGTGTATTAGGGAAAGATCAAGATTAGCTTTTATAATTTTAATATAGTTTATTTTTAGACTTTTTAGAATAAATAAATGTTAAGTGCCCTGTCTTTCAGTTGAATGCTTCTTTAATTTAAATCATAATAGTAATTATATGACTTCCTTATAATACTTAAAAAAAAATCTTACAGCCCAAGAGACAATGAAGATATTACCTCTGAAAAAGAAGAAAATGTTTTATCCTCATCTTTGAAGCACTTAGAGTTCATTGAAGAGAAGAAGCTTGCAGTGACCGAAGAAAATATGTCGCCTGAGAATGACACTTGTCTTCCTAATGCATATTTAAACAAAGGAAGAAAAGAAATAAATGGTATGAATCCTGACATTCAGAGTGTTTTCGTTCAGAAAGTTCCAGAAATGTATTTTTCTGATTCTGAAAGCAAAGTACGAGTAACAGACAAAAGTGAAAAAGAAGTAGAAATGGCTTCTGAAAAAGAGTGTGGTAAAACTGACGCAGATAGTTTTGTAGAAGGAGTGTTACCTAGTATTAGCTATGGTGAGAATAATCAGGAAGTCTGTGATCTTTCAAATACTATACCTCTTCAAAATGAAAATTCTTCACCTGGCGAAATATTGAAAGGAGGAGTAATGGTAAAGAAAAACACCTTTGGAAAACAAAAAAGCAAATCAACTTTGGAAGAGTTTCCACAACATGAGCTATCAAATTTTGTTGGTGATTGGCCAGTTGATAAGACTATTGGTCAGAGGACAAAAAGGAACCGAAAAACTGAAAAAGCTTTATCTGTACAAAGTGACAAAAAGTATAATCACCCGCCATCACGTAAAGTATTAGATAATAGTCTATCTATGAATGTAGATAATATCCAGCAGCAAGGATCTCCACATGAAAATGTAGAGGATGACAAGTCACAGTGTGATGATGCTTCAGAATCTTTCAGTAGCTGTAAGTATGATACTTATAAAAATACTGAAAACTCATTCAACATTGTGGGCAACTGGCCTTCATCTGATGCTTTAGCTCAGAGAGAGCATAGATCAAGAGTGCCAAAGACTGGTTTAAATGAACCCAACCTAGAATTTGGAACTAATGATAACATGAATGAAATACCCTTATACACAGCACATGAGACCTGTTGGGGGACAAGCCCTGAAGACCTAAAAACGTTGGGTAGCTATTCTCTAGGAAGTTCTGAAATGCTGTCCAGTGACATGACCTGTGAGAATAAGACTTGTCCAAGTGAAAAGATCCATGGACAACACACATTGTCTCTTACTTTTACCAATACTTCTCCGACTATTCCTGAAGTTGAATTTCCAGAAGGAAGGCCTCAAGAAGTCCCAGGAATAGAAGTAGACATGTGTACACAGACTGAACCACAGGATTTTGCTCTCTTATGGAAAATAGAAAAGAATAAAATTAGTGTTTCAGAATCTGTGAGAGTATTAATAGGAAGATTAGATGGATTTAAACCAAAAGATTTCAATATTAACTCAAAATTAGATGTTCAGGAAACAATTCCATATAGGGTAATGTATGATAAAAGCACGTTTGTTGAAGAAAGTGAGCTTACCAGTGCTGATGAATCTGAAAATCTTAACATTCTTTGTAAACTATTTGGATCCTTTTCATTAGAAGCCCTTAAAGACTTATATGAGAGGTGTAACAAAGATATTATTTGGGCCACAAGCCTTTTGTTGGATTCTGAAACTAAATTATGTGAGGATACTGAATTTGAGAATATCCAAAAATCATATGATGAAGCACAAACTGGGCCATTTTCTCTGGGATTGAATTTGAAGGAAATTATTAGCCAAAGAGGAATCTTAGAGGATTCTAATTCTTCTGTGCCAGAATTTAGCCATGCAGTTGTTATCACTAACACTAATGTACATACTACCAATGATTCAGAAAAGGGAAGCTCAGAGCAGGCAGAAATAATAGCTATAACTACTGAAAAACCTGGATTAGTCACAAGTGTATTTCCTAGCGCCACTGTAGATCTAAAAAATACTAATGAAGTACTTCCTAATAATCAGGCAGAACTATCAGGTTTGTATAACATTAACCAGTCTTTTACAGGTACACTAAAAGCTACTACTGTTCAAGATGTGAGTGAAGTAGAGAAGAATCTAGAAGTCACAGATGTTGGAGATAGTATTCATTCTTTGAACTTGTCAGGTATTTTAAACTCTGTATCAAGCACTTCAAATCTTGAATTAAATGAAGAAATTTATTTTACTGACTCTTTTGAAATAAAGAAAAATGAAAATCTTCCAAAGGATTATGCGAAATTTCCAAACATGGAAGAATTTATGAATGAAGATGAACAGGAAATGGAAAATATTCTAATGGCAGGGAGTACTTTGTCAACTGGAAGTAGTGAAGAAATAAAAACTGAGATGTTGAATCCCACGCCAGTGATGACCAAATCTCTGACCATAGACTGTCTGGAATTGGCATTACCTCCCGAACTGGCTTTTCAGCTCAATGAATTATTTGGCCCTGTTGGTATTGATTCAGGTAAGGAAAAAGTAAATTTACCTATATTTGTGTTTTTATGTGAATAGAATATAGGGAGTTCTATTTCAATGTAAAGTTATTTCATAAGTTAACTGAAATATAAAAGTAATTTGTGTTGCCGACCTTATTTTTGACACAGCATGTTTGGAGAGGATTTTTGAAAATGTAATTTGAAGGACTAGAGTATTTATATGGAGTTTGTGTCCATCGTGTGTATGTATGTGTGTGTGTGTGTGTGTGTGTGTAGTTTCCTCTGGTATTTACCTCTTACTTATTTACACAGGTGAACCTTTTTGAATCTTTGGTGCTATTCCAGATGCATTTAAGGCAAGATAAATTTCTTAGAACAAACTTACTGAAAAGGTTTGACGAATGGAAATGAATAAATTAAATTTATTTAGACTAATGGGCATGAATAGCTTAAATATATGAAGCATTGTATAATTGCGTCATACAAGAAGTGTGAAAACAATCAATGACATATTGCATAAACACAAATATTCCAAGAGATTTAGAACTAGAAACATAGGTTAGTAATTAATAATACAAGTTAGTATTATGATGCTTAAAGTGGTTAAGTACATTGTCTGTACATGTAAAATGAGTAATGAGTATATTTTCTTTTCTTCTTTCCCTTTACAAGGGTCTCTAACAGTTGAGGATTGTGTGGTTCATATAGATCTGAATCTGGCTAAAGTGATTCATGAGAAGTGGAAAGAATCTATAATGGTTGGTAGGATTCTTTTTTATAAAGAGCTCCTTTGTGTCTATTTTGTCATCCTTCTTCAGTAAAATATACTGTTATAGGAAAGAAAGAGTTTTATTGCATTTTGACTTTGAGAATGTACTTTTACTACTTAACAAATTACTGATTTTTTTCCCTTTTTCCAGTACTTTAGATTATTTCTAGACTGACTAAATTATATAATTAATGATGGAGCTCAATATATTGATTTTTTAAGGGAAAAATATCATAGTTTTTATTCCCTAAATTTAAGACTTGCAGAACTGATTGATTAATTTTCAAAAACAGTTAAAAAAATACAGCATAAGAGCTCTATAAGTGGAAAAAATATATAGATGTACTCAATTTATAATTTTATTTATCTAATTTGTTTTACTTAGAATGATTAATAGTTTTACAAGGAGAGATGGTGTCTAAAGAAAAATAATATAATCTTGTTTTCTAAAGCATCCTTCTTTGTTAATACCGTTCTGCATTTGTGTTTAGGAGCGACAAAGACAGGAAGAGGTATCCTGTGGCAAGGTTATGCGAGGTAAAGCACATGTTTTTACTTTTAATGATATTGTCTTGATATTGAAACTTGGAGAGTGTGTGTGTGTGTGTGTGTGTGTGTGTGTGTGTGTGAATTTTAATTTATTTTAAATATTCTTGTGTTACCAAACTCAACGGGTTCACCGCCTGGGGTGTTCTATTTAAGAATGAGATGTGGTTGTCATTAGGTAGTTTCATTTACTTGCAGCAAGAAAATGAGACGGGATTCATACCCAGAAGGAAGGCTTAGCCATTGCTTGCATGCACTTGCACTGTTTGGTCAATTACATGCTGGTTTCTTTGTAGTTGGGTACACTTATCTGGTTGGGTTACTGTCAGGCTCTTCCTATTTATGGCTGCATCTGCAAAATACTGTGCTACATTTTAACATTTAGCAAGAAAGCATTTAGTAAGAACAGCCCATACCTTGAGACCCTTGTTCTAACACTTCCACAAAATATGTTACCTAAGAATTTTGATTGGCAAATAAAAGTTCTTTCAAAAGTCTGTTTTATTTTATTTCCATAAAGAAGAAAAAAATACCCTATAATACTATTTAGCTTTCATGAGTGCTGTGGAATACGTAAGATGTGCTAATACATATAGTCAAGGTGTTTTCTGTTAAGATTTTGCTCTGAATGAAAGAAATCGGTTCTGGTTTGAGAGCAGTAAAGTGCTCATATGTTTGAGAGCATCATTGAAATATTAAGAAATATTGGTTATTCAAAATTGATTTAAAAATCTTGGTTATTCAAAAATTTTATTAATGTTAGTATTTCTAGAGCACAAAAGTCAGCCTGCTTTTTTGGTACCTCTGCCAATTTGAAAACATTTGATTACGAAAGACTTCTCTTAGATAACATTGTCCTCAGTGATTAGGGCGGGTTGGCAGACCTGTTAGTAAGGGTCTCCCTTTTTTGCATGAATTCGTACATATACTTGTTTTCTCCACTCCACACTGGAACTGCAGGTTGAAGATTCTTAGGATGGGCTTTAGTTCAGACCTGTGCTCCGGTGGTAGTTTCAGGGGCTAAAGATGTTTGAGAGCTGGGAGTTGTGTGAACGATAGTATCGGCTGTTTTGTTTGTTTGTTTGTTTGATTTCTCCCCCCTCTCTAGGAAAGCAAAGGAATGTATCAGAATGTGTTGCTATCCCTTAGAGATGTTGAAATGTTACACGTTAAATACCGTTATTGTGAACTTCTTAAATGTTCAGCTCCTTATGTTGAATATCATTTGCTCACTTTTTATTGTGTGCCTCCAGTGGGTTACAGGTTTGCCAAAATACTGATCCTTGGAGTGGCTGGGCAGAGCTGACTAGAGCTGTTCTAGGTGGTCACTTTGAGTTGGCTGCCACTTTCTTTGTTTACTAGTATATATATGTGTCCCTATTTTCTGTGTCCATGTGATATGAAAAAGAGTGGGAAGAATTGAGTTGATTTACAATGATACCCAAATCATTTCTCATTTGAAATATTCCTACATTTACATGTCATTTCTTGCCTGCACTTAATGTAAAGATGTATTTTGAAACTTCACAGTTGCATTATAAGCTAAAAGTGAAAACCAGTATTTTTTTGGTCTCTCTGAGGTAGATGTAACAGAGTGTATAATGCTGGATTTGTACATTTTTTTGTTGAGGGTCTGACACTATACTGCTTTTGTAGATCCTTCCCTGGTTGGGCATATTGGTCTTGATAATACTGAACAAAAATCATCTCAGAGAACAGGCAAAAAATTACTGAAGACTTTAGCAGCATCTGAAATGGATCGTTGGAATACTCAAACTAAAAAAGTTTCACTCAGAGAAATAATGTCAGAAGAAATGGCCTTACAGGAAAAACACGATTTGGTATGAGTTAGTATAAATATTAAGCCTTTGTCTCTGATTCTAGGTTGATTGTGTATGTTTACTTTGTGATTTTCATTTAATTCTATATTTCCTAGTCTGGAATCTTCATTTAACCTAATTAACTTAATGTTAAAATTGAAAAATGTTTTAAACGTAGTTCAAATTGGAGTTTTTTGCTTCTGGGAAATTAGTTGATATTCTTTAACAGTAAAGCAATGTGTGTTAAATGTTGTTTTCAATTTAGTTTTTCAGGTGATTGAGCTGCATATTTCTTGGCATTTAACATTTATATAATTTTTAAATTCTAGAAACATGAAACTTTCATTTAAAGATAATTTCATTCATAAATTAGTGATAAGAATGTCTTTGTTACTATTAAAGACGTTATCCATCTTTGAAACAAAATTTTTTTGAGAAAATTTTAGAAATTTAACAATTTGAATTTAAAAATTAAATACTGTTATCTAACTTTTTAATTAAACAAGGTCAAACAGAAACTTTACTTTAAACTTTATTTACTTATTTTTTGTTAATTATTCAACATATCTAATTATATGAAGCCATAAGTGAATTTGGTTTCTTTTGCATTTCTTCTTAGCCTTTTTGGAAATTCTGAAAGGTAGTATTAGAGAACTTAAAATTAATAAGAAAAAAAGACCTTAAGGGTTATTTAGTCCAATTCTCAAGGGAAAAAGAAAAATTCTTAGTAAAACATTTTTACTTTCTTTGTTACTCATTTCACTGCTTAAAGGAACACCTTTATATTTGGCTGAAATACGTAGAATTGGGACATAGGAACAATGATGGGATTCCTCCACTTTCATATTTATTTTCTAGTTAAATTGGAAATATGCTACCAATCCTGCCTTCGCATGTTTATACCGGGGGTGCCAAAAAAAAAAATGTATACAAGTGGACACTTTGGTCAACGTTGCTCCAACAGTAGTTCACCATAATCAGAAGTATCTGGATGCTGAGACGCTGATGGTAACCACTTTGAGCACCTCTTGTAATTGCAGAAGTCAAACGTGACTTGTATTCATCTTTTGTTATCGGTATATATTGAGTATTACAATTTTAATACAGCTTTCCTTTCTTAAAATGTGTATATATTTTTTTGGCACCCTCTGTATAATTCAAGGAACAATCTCTTCAGTAGGATCTTATAATTAGTATTTCAAATATCCTCTTTATATATATAACAAATTGGAAAAATGGATTTTCTTAAAAAATAGGGAATGCCTAGAACTGATGTTCAAATGTTGTGACATTTTTTGTTGAAATGCCATTTTCCACTACTGAAACTTATCTTTATAGTTCTAACCTGCCTTTTAATCTCTCAGTAAATTAGTGAACGAATGAGCATCTTTGACTTCCCAACTTCATGCACTTTTTTTTCTGTCAGTGGTTTTGCTTGTTTTTCTATAGGGTGGGTAATAGAAGCTGTATTTTTTTGATCCTAAGGATTCCCACTTAGGTAGACCCTCAATAAGAGAATTTCTTTATGCTTTCTCCTCACTCTTTGCCCTCAAAGGAGAAAAATACTTTGTGTTTTTTTAAAGCAAGAAATAGTAAAATAAACTTGAGGCATAATACATGAATAGAATAATTAATTTTAAGATGATTAAGGTAATAAGTTTTTAGTTTTTTTTGAATTTCAAATTTAGAAACTATAACCTGGTAGTTTGCTAGTAAATCTGATTGCTGAATTTTTTTGTTAATTTAGATTGTAATGCATATTTTAAATAAAACATGAAATACTTTTAATTCTTGAGGTGGCTATGTCTATCACTTTTTTCTTTCTTTTTTTTTAATTTTTATTGGGGAACGGTGTATTTTTCTAGGACCCATCAGCTCCAAGTCAAGTAGCTGCTTCAGTTGTGGAGGACGCAGCTTTTTGGCCCATGTGGGACTCAAACCAGCAACCTTGGTGTTATGAGCCTGCGCTCCAACCACCTGAGCCAACTGGCTGCCCTCTATCACTTTTGTAATGTGTAATGTGTTGAGCTTTACTAGTCTTTTACTGGTCAGGTGGTCACCTATTGTGGTTCCTCTTTTATTGTTAGTTGGTGTTATAGATGGCCTAAATATGGTTAGGGTTCAAAACCAATAACTATTCTAGGATTGTCCTAGATCTATATAATTTTTATTTTTAGGACTTTTCAGAGTCACCTTTGAAATTTGATAGGAAGTTATTTTTCAGACATTAGGATCTTTGTAGCAAGCAAGAGTATTATTTAGTTACATCATAATGTCAGCAAATTGTCTTAGAGTTAGAAATCACTTTAAGAATGTTTATCATAATCCTAGGTTAGGATTAAAATAGCATATTTTATAAAGTTCTTTTGGTTTGGTAATCTGAACAGCTCCAAATATGACTTGTGAAAAAAATAACAATTAGTAACACTTCTCATGCAGTTATTTTGAAGTAAATATGTTTGACATTTAAAAAAATTGTGAATTTTAAGATTTTCTGTCAACCTGAATTTGCAACTTATTTGTACATTGTAGTTTCTGACCATTGAGGAGAATATGTTTTTGAGGACGTTGTTCACAGCACCACACAGTGTCCCTTTTATGAGGACCCATGGGAGAAATTTCTCTCAGGTCTCAGTACCAGAAAAAGCTGTACTTCTCCTGAGCAACTGGTTTGTTTTTATTTTATGGACACTGAGAATCTTTGTTTCCCCCTTTGCTTTGGCCACTAAGAAGCTCAGAACTGAATTTGTGGCCCACCTCTAGCAATTGTACAGGATTTTGTGGCATGCATTTATATACTAATTTTACTTGCTAGCTTTATATCCTGTATTCTTACCTTTATTTTTTCTACTCTCTGACTTCTTCATTTATTTATATCCTGTTTATTTATGCATATATATATCTCTTCATCCTTTTTTATATAAATTTAATGTGTTGGTGTGTATATGTCAGGATGTATTTATATACACATGCACACATATCTGTATATGTGTGATTGTGTGTGTATGTGTATATATCTACGAGCAACTTCAAATACTTTGTAAAAATGGGATATAAATAAATAGTGCAAAATACTTATATTACTAATTTTAATCAGCGAAGAAAGTCTGTGATTGCTTTTAAATTATTAGTCTTTTTGCAACAAAATAACCATGCTTTTGGATCAGCATAGTTAATATTATAAGTTCCATTTTAAGGATGATTTTCATCTTTTTTGTTTTAGAAAAGAGAGCCTCTTATGTTTGAAAAAGATTATGCCACTAAACTAAAGGAGAAGCAGCTCTTTAAGATATTTCCAGCCATTAACCAAAATTTTCTGGCGGACATTTTCAAGGACCACAAGTGAGTGCTAGAAGAATTGTCTGTAGTTTCTACTGTGCTGTCATTGAAAGCATGTGCCATACATTTTAATGTTTTTCTGATAACAAAAATAATATAGGTACAGTAATACCTTGGTTTGCAAACATAATTCGTTCCAGAAACAAACTACTTGTATTGCAAGACATCGCTCGTTTACCACATTAAAATGTATTAGAAATGTTTGTTCATCTTGCATAACACTCGTAAACCACATTACTCGCATTCCAAGGTTTTACTGTTTATTATTATAAACTATTTAATGCAATGTGCATAATATAGAAAGTGAGCGGTTTCTGGCAATTGGTTCATATGCCTCCATTTTTTTTCTCATAGCAATTGTACATACTAATGTGTATACATATACGTATCTCTTTTTTTGTATCTGTATACAAATATACATTTCATCAAAAAAGAGGTTGTGAGGGCCGGCTGAGTGGCTCAGTTGGTTAAGAGCTCGCTCAAGAGTTTGAGCTCTGAGCAACAGCGGTTCGATGCCAGCCCAAGCTGAGCAGCCGCTAAGCTACCAACAGGTAGCAGGATGGCTCAGCTAAAAAAAAAAAAAAAAAAGAGGTTGTGTTCTATGTTCTATGTTGTACTTTTGCTGGTATTTATTTTTCCTTTCCATACTTAGTGACCTGCTCTTTTCAAAATCTACAGAGTATTCCATGGTATTCTTAAAGTGATTTCTTAAATTACTGTAATTTATTTAAATGTGCTCCTATTTAGGACCTTTTTGACTATAAGAAAAATTGGAAACCATGTTGTACTGAGCATCATTGAACATACAATTTTGGGTATATTGGTGAATGCTATTGTAGGCTAGTTCCTAAAAGTGAAATTGCTGTTTCAGAGTGTGTGCATTTAAAATTTTATAGCTAATGCCAAATTTCCTTGGATAAATGCTTTCTGTACTAGTTATATGCACTGACGATGTAACCTACCTTGGATAATAAGAATCTTTTGCATGTCAATGGTAATTAAAAAAAATTTTTTTAATTAAAAAAATCTTAAAAATGTCTGCCAATCTGATGAGAAAAATATTTCATTGTCGTTTAAAATTTTATTTTCTTGATCACTAGGTTGAATTATTTTTCATTTCTTTTTCTATTAATTATTTACTTTTTGCCTTTTTTCGTTTTGGTTGTTTATATTTCTTTCTAGATTTGTGAGAGCTCTTTATATATTATGTATAGTAATCTTTGTCTATTATAGATTATAATTATTTTTCCTGCTGTGATACTTATCTTTTAACCCAGTATAGTCTATTTCATATACTTGTTTGACTTATGTTTTATCAGAAAATCTTTTCCCTTATTGTTTTGAGTTTTATGTCATTTTTAGGAACTCTGTCCTATACCAATCTTACAAAAATATTTTCTTCAATATTTTTAATAGATAAATTTAAATTTATCTAGCATTTTTATGTGTATGGTATGAAGTAGAGATTTAAGCTTAGTTATTTTTCCATGTGATTAACTGAATGAATAGATAATATTTATCCACTGATATTAAATAGGCCACTCGTTACTGCATTCCTAAATATACATTTTCTTTTTTTTTTTTAAAGATTTTATTGGGGAATTGGGGAAGGGACCAGCCAAGCTGTTGTTCTTGTTGTTCTTCAATCTTGGTTGTGTAGGGCGCCAGTCGCCACCTGGTTTCCTGTCGGTAGCCTGTGGCCTCTAAGCTCAAGGTGCTGTGTTCAGTCTTAGTTGCAGGTGGGTGTAGCCACCATCCCATGTGGCAGTCGAACCCGGCAGCCTTGTTGTTAAGAGCGCACGCTGTATCCACTAAGCCATCTGGGCAGCAGCTCAGCTTAAGGTGCCTAGTTCAGTCTTAGTTGCAGGTGGGTATAGCCCACCATCAAACAGGCAATCTTGTTGTTATACCAGCTGAGCCATCCTGCCACCTGTTGGCAGCTCAGCTCGGGCTCAGCGTTACTGGCCCATGTGGGAATCAAACCGGTGGCCCTGTTGCTCAGAGCTCGCGCTCTTAAGCCAACTCTTAACCAACTGAGCCACTCGGCTGGCCCTTCATTGTCTTTTAAAGACTCTTCGATTCCACTGAACTATTTCTTTAGATCTGGGTTTCCACCATATTTTTTTAATTATTTTAGTGTTATAGTGTGTTTTGATGTTTGGTATATTAGGAATGCTTCTGGGTTGAATAGTATGTACTTTCGATCGCATATATTTCTTAAATTACTATTTTAGCAAGAGTTGTTTTAAATAGATACCTTTTTAGAATTTTTGAAAATCTAGTATAGATCTTTTTTTCAGTTTATTAGTATGGTTCATGTCAATCACAATAATAGATTTTTGGAATAAAACCTGCTTTACCTTTAGATTTTTAGTTTTGTTTTTTTCCTTTAATGCAGTGTAGGAATTGATATCAGAATTTTTGCAACAGTAATTAAATGTGATTACTCTTCCTGTGCTATCTTGGTCAGATTTTGGTTTCAGGGTTTTATTTGGTTTTAGGCTTAATAGAATAACCTAGGAAGACTGCTATTTTTCTCTACGCTCTGGAAAGTTTAAATAAGTTAGTACCTTGAAGGTTCTGGGATTGTGCCTTTTCAGGGAAAAGGTCTTGAGAACCTTTCACTATCTTTTTAAGGTTATTGTTTTATTCAGATGTTTGATTTTTCTCGGTCCTTTCTGGTAGTTTGTCTTCTAGAAAATCATCAGTTTTACCTTGCTTTTCAAGTTTTTTATTGTTAAGTCACATAATATTCTTTTGTAATTAAAAACATAATTTTGTAATTGATCATGTTCCTTTTTCCTTTCCTAATATTTTTTTCTGTTTTCAGTTTTTGCTCTTTATCAGATTGGCCAGTTAAAGAGCAAGCTCTTGGTTTATTGATGAAACTCTATTTTATGATCTCTAATAATTTATTTTTGCTTTTATTTTTGATGATTCTTTCTTATTTATATTTATTTGTTTTTGAATTTTGTAAGAGTTTATTTGAGCCAAACTGACGAGATATGCTGGGAGCAAGATCTCAAATGCTCCAGAGAGTAACAATTTGCAGCTTCTTTTATGCATTTGAAATGAAGGCTGGAATTTAAGGAAGAGAGTACCTGAAGGTGGGGATAAAGCAAGGCAGGGATTGGATTATAGAATAGTAAGATTATGGGTTTTCTTGAGGGTGGTTATGGTTTATTTAAAAAGTCTGTTAACCTAGAAGCACAGAAATAATGGACAGAGCTTGCTTAAGGCAATGCTAAACCTTTTACTAAAAGGGTATATGCTTGGGGTCTGACTACTTGCCATCACCTGCCCAGTTAGGAATTTATGATCGGATCACCCTGTGATTACTTTCCATAGATCCCCTTTTTTCATCCACAGCTCTCCCTTTTGGTCATAAATCAATCCAAAGGATGCTTCGATGACCAACCTTTTGGTCGGATAGTGTGGTCTCATAGCATTAGGAAGGCTGTAGGAAGGCTTATTCCTAGGAAGTCTCAGTGTTGATACTGTCTTGTTGACCACTGGGGATGGGACAGTTTTGTAAACACAGGATCTGAGTTGAGGCTGATGTTTCCCAAAATGGGAAGAGCAGGTAAGTGGAAGGCAGTCAGGTCTTATGAACTTCATTAGGAATAAACACTCTGGATCATTTCTGTGCTGTAAACTATCATGATCTGAGTTTTGCTTTCTGCCTTATTTCTCTTTATTTGGCATCTACTATAACATTTATGTAAACCATAAAAGAGTATAAAAGTTATCTTATACATGTTCAGTAATCATAAACAGTTGGACCATATAGAAAAACCCAAAGAACAAATATAACTATTATTATGTATGACTAGTATCATTAGCAGACGGGTAAAGACAATCAAAAATGGATTCTGAGTTCACTGTCAATCCATAGGTATGACAAGGATTGATAGTCCTTGTCAATCTCTTGGGATAGCTGTCTACTTCTCATGTGGCCGGCTTCTTGTCTTCGAGGAGACTTTGATATCTGTAGACAGGGGTAGATGTCCATTTGCGATTAGGTGCTGGTAAGATCCCTTCCATTGAGGTCGGAGAGTGTCTTTTATATGATGTCCTTTCCAATAAACAAAATCGCCAGGTGGCAGTCAATGACCTTTAAAATCTTTGTCTCCTGGGAGCCGCTGTGAAAGGAAGTAAGTAGTTACCAACCTGGCATTTTCTTAAAGTGACTCCATCAACCTTGGCAATAGTGTAAGATGTCCCCTGTCAGTATTGTCAGCTTCTTTCATGTAAGTCCAGCTTAAATGCACTGTGATGCATGAAGGAATGCAAAAACTGAAAAATGGGGAGCCAGGGAGCAGGGAAGAACCAAGCGGCTGTCTTGGGTTTCCCATAGCCCCGGATATTTGTTCAATTTGCAACCATTGTTTACCCATACAATATACCCTAGACTTTTTCATCACTTATTTTACAGTGCTTCCTATGCAGTTTCAAATCTTTTGAGGTGTTCCAGGGGCCCTTCTGAAACACTGCAAAGTTATTCCAACATATATTGAGATTTTAACCCTTAAAACCTCAATGTCTAATGAAAACTAAGAAGTAAGCAATTAGCACTCTTTAGCTTGGCAGATTTATGAAGACATAACCTCTAGAAACATAGGCTCTTTTACTGGCAAATATATTTAAGACATTTTATAGCTTCTAGAAGCATATTTCATAGGCATAAAAGTCAATTATTAACATGGACTTATTTTTATAAAACTGAGGCAAAATAAAGACATGACTGTTTCACTTAAACCAACAAACTTAAGCTAGCTTCTATTTACTAAAGATTAATCTTAGATCACGTGAACTTGAAAAGCTTTTGAGTTAGTTTCTTTTTTTCTGAGAATTAGAATACTCAATTCTTACAAGTGCTTGCCTAAATTAATTTTAGCAATACCACCTGGAGGTAGAAAATTATCTCACATTTACATTACATATATGTACACACACATAGACACAGAGACCATTTAGTCATGAGAAACAGTGGATTCAGATTTTACCCTGGAGGAATTTACAATTTATGTCTGTCCTTGTAGGTTCCAAATGGTCTTCCCCCTTTTAAAATAAGGACAGCCATTTTTAATACCTCAAAGAATTGGGTTGACCCCTAAATGACATGATAGGTTGAACCATTTATCTAAGTCCTTTTACACAGTTTAATTTTAGCTTAGGGGAGAAGGCCTTTTTAACTTCTGAGACAGTCTCTAACAGTTTTTTCCCCCCATTCATTCTGCCTAATTTTATAGCCAGCTTTTTCTAATTTTGTGCACAAAAAGGATCATCCCCTTTTTATTTTTGATGGTTCCTTTCTCTTAAAATTTGTTGATATGTTTTCAACTATTTAGTTTGTTTCCTTTTAGTTATTAATAACATATATTTAAGGGTATGACCTTTTCTCTGTATATGTTTTGGTTTTGTTGTACAGTACTTTCATTTTCATTATTTTCTAATTCATTTTGATTTTCTCATTTATCCAAGAGTTTTTAATTCTGTAAGTGGTTTGATGGCTTTGGTGGTGGTGGTAGGGGGAGGGTTACTGTTTGTTTTGTTTGTTATATTTTGGGGTATGAGAATGTGGCCAGGAAGAGTTATACTTCTTTGGAATTTGAGATTTTCTTTGTGGTTTAATATGATTAGTTTTTATAAATATTACATGAAATTGCCTTTGAAAAAGAATATTCTCTGCAGAATTCTAAATATGTCACTTAAATCAAGTTTTTAATGGTATTGTTTCAATCCACAATTTCCCTATTTATTTTTTGCTATGTAACCTGCTATTTAATTCTTAAGAGTTATGTGTTAAAATCTCCCAAGGGTCTGGGGGCTAGGGACGGGTGCTGGCAACTCTCTTCTTTGGGGATCTGGGGCAAGATGGCCTGATGTGAAACAACTCAAGAGTTGGGGTTCCCTAGGCAAACTAAGGGGACTGAGTGAGTTCTTCCTGGGAATATCCAGTGTGGTTGGTCAGTGAGGCCCCGCATAAGTAAGTGGTTGATTACCTCCATTTGTCTGCCAATGGCTGGATAATTTTCTTAGTTAGCAGTAGCTTCAGCTTCATCCTGGTAAGAATCTACCCTTAGATGGTTTCAGTTACTGCAGTATATGCCTGATGTAGTCTTTTAGGGCTGTACCCCTCAAGCGACACGTTATGGAGACTGGTTTCCAGCCCCATGAGTGGGTAAGCTGGGTGATTTTAAGGGCTAGTTAGGATGTGGATAATTGCTGGTAGCTTCCAGCCCTTAGAAAACCCTGTATGTTGAGCATATCTGACAGGAAGATGAAGCGGGCTGAAGTGGAACTGGTAGTCCCAAATGTGGTTCTTCAAGGGTTATCTTTAATAATTGGAAGAATAACAAAATATCATATTATTTTAGAAAACTAGTTATCACATTTTCAAAAATATTCCTAAGTGGTCAGTTCCTCGTTGTCTGGCCATTGGAAGAAATCAGAGGCATAAATAGTCTGAAATAATGAGCAGTGTAAAATAATTTATAATTTGCTTTGGAATGAGTTTCTTTAGGTATTAGAACATGAGTGTTTCAATATCTGTCAATTTGTAGAATTTCACACTACAGATAATATAATAAATATCACCATGAAAACATGCCTAAATAATGTAGGGGTGAGAGTAGGATAGTGTTTTACATTTTCCTTTCTGTATCGTTGCCTAGTTTGTTTGACTAAAACCCCATGGTATAAGTAAAAAGTGAAATTTGACAAAATAAAAAATGTTTAAAGATCTGTTGTCTGTATTTGATGTTTGAAGGAAACTGAAACCATATATGAATCCAATAAGGGATTTAAGAAATATCGGTGATAAGATAAAAGAAAGGTTTGTTACGGGTAATCTACCTGGAATAAAAGATCGGAAAATGAATTATCAATATGTTACCTTTTGGTATTCATTTTTAAAATTAGTTTTTGAGAGCCTGTTACTTTCCAGTTTCCCTCTGGTCATTCTTGAGTCTTTGAGCTACACAGTGAGCATTTAATTTCAATGTTTAAAATTTAAATGTGAGCCAGTTTTTATATTCTTCTAAAATGTTTGAAGGATTGCTTATGTTAATGTTTCCATATAACTTTTATTTTCATTTATTGACATTATATTTGTTCTTAAACTCTCTACAGCTATTCATTAGAACACACAGTGCAATTTCTAAACTGTGTTCTTGAAGGAGACCCTGTAAAGACAGTTGTAGCGCAAGAGTTTGTTCACCAAAATGAGAATGTCACTTTTTATACTGCACAGAAGTCGAAGGAGAAAAAGGTATAGAGTTACTTATTTTTTTACTTAGTGGGTAACAATTGTTTTGGAAAATTAATTTGTTTATTTAGGTAACTTAATGATTATTTCTCGCCATTTTGACCAGATACCACCACTAGCATGTTTGGTTTTGAATGTCTGCCTACTCAAAATAATGAATTTATAGCTGATTATGGTTTTTCCTTTAATTTTATTCTCATTGTGAATGACAAACACTTGAATTTCTGTAGGTTTTTCTGTGTAGACAGCACAATAGAGTATGAGGCTTAATTTAATAACGGTGGGGTGGTTATATAATGGGTCTTAAGCTATAAACGTGGGCAGAAATTTTTAACCATTTGAGAAACTGCCAAACTTTTTTCCAGAGTGGCTGCACTGTTTTATATGTTACATTCCCAGCAGTGTATAAGGGTTATAATTTCTCCATATCCTCTCTGACACTTGTTATTATCAGTCTTTTTGATTATTGCCATCCTAGTGGGTGTGAAGTTTTTATGTGTACCTGGAATTTGTTTTAATCAGTTATGGTGAGACACCCAGACATGGAAATGCCATGAAGAAAGTTTATTCTACGCACAGATCCCTAGAAACAGAGGCATGGTGTGCCACCCAGGGCCACATGAGAAAGTACCAGCATTGGTCAGGAGGCAGAGGAAATAGGGGGGAAATGTGGGCAAGAGCCTTTTTTGTGGTTTCTGTGGGAAGGAATGGGTGAGGCAGGGTAAACAGGATTAGGATTGGCTAGTTTGAATAATTTCAGTAGGCTTTGAGGGATAGGAATTGTCCCTAGTTTTCTGCTACCTGGCTTGGTAATTAGGGCATGTGGATGGAGGCCTAGACGGTGAGAACCCCAAAAGGAGGTGGTTGGGAGTATCGGCTCTAGATTGGTTGGTTTGCATAAATGTAAGGTACACTAGTAGGTGAGTTGTTTGCTAGGATTTAGTTAACCTTAGGCTGGTGGTGCTGTTTCTCCAGGAATTACTAGCAAGGCCCCAGATGTCAAATCATCAGAATACAGGAAATAAAAGATATGGTTAATACAGAGTGGTATCTCAGTGTGATTTTGATTTGCATTTCCCTGATGACTGGTGATGTTGAACATCTTTTCATGTGCTTATTATTGGCAATTTGTATATCTTTGAAGAAATATATGTCCTTTGTCCATTAAAATTAGGTAGACATTGGCCAAAATGTAAACTTTAAGTTATTTTGGAGGTTATTTTTAGCCTTTCTCACAAAGTATAGGCAGGTGTCATAATATTGATAAAAATCTTTTTAGATTTATGAGCGCAATAGTCTGTGTTTGATATCCCAGGACCTTAAGGGACCACAGATACTAAAGGGGAGTATTATGGTACCAGTGACGTTTATCTGTTTATCTGTTTTCAAGAAACTAACATTTAAAACTGTGTTTTATTAATACTACTGCTTTTTCCTTTTAGCCTTTAGTAAAATTTATGAGTTTGTTACCATAGGAAATGGTTTTGGTATTAGTATGTCATGCTTACAAGAGAATAAATGGCAATAATTAGGTGAAATTATAGTAAACCTCATCACTATGAAATGGATATAAAAATAAATCTTAGTTTTATTTTAAAAGAAAGTAGTTATTTGAGAAAACATCTCTCACTATATACTTTTTTTTTGGTTGTTTTTTTTTTTAAATTAGAAATAAAGGATCTCCAGAGAACCAAATGTGATTTGCATTTTTTAGTATGAACACCAACAGAGACTCTGATACTGTGAAATATTTGTGTTCATAGCGTTAGGCATGATGGGCTTTTTGAAAGTCATAGAGGGTGTTTTTATTATCCCCTCCCCTCAAAATCTTTGATTTTATCAGAAATGCAAACCATACCCTCATTGACTATTTAAGCATTAATATGAAACAAGCTTGTAAGTACTGGCGAGAGTGACATAGGATGTAGGTCCTGTGAATATTCTTATGTGAGAGAAGAGCCTTGTGTTCTTTCATAAAATAAGCTGGATATTTGTTTACAAAAATAAGTTGTATATAAATTGTATATTTATAGATTTTTTTACTCTGGTAATGGGTTAGTTAGGAGTATGGTGATGCCTTTATTTTCTTATTTTCTTTTTTCCCCCCTTATCTTTAACTTTTTCAAGCCTCTAGAGTTCTAGGGGCAAAGTAAGCAAAATGTAATGAATGAAAAATTATATAACCAACTCCTGTTATATAGTAGACAAGTTTTTCACAACCTTTCTTGGCTTCTGAACTCCATTCACAGGCAGGAAATTTGAAAAATATTATATTTATCAGTTAGCAATATATATTATGTAATATATACATATAATGTTTTATAATTTTAATATATGATACTACATAAACTTTTTAATTGGCATTTTATTAAGGATTGTATTATAAGTATATTATAATTTTAATCCTTGATAATATTTCTAATTTAATATTTTTCAGTATTTAGAAATTTAATACAATTTTTAGTATTTAGAAATTTAACAAGTAACCTATACGAATTTACTTTCAATTAATTATACCAGAAAAGTATGATTTATTGAAGAAATTGAAAATTGTATTTTTTGGGGGGATTTTGGGATTGAGTGTTCATAAAATGTTCATTAAATTACTTGGTATGGTACCTGATACTTGGAATTTTTTTAAGCTTTTAACAAAATTAACTTAATCATGGTGCTTTATCTCCCACCAACCCCCCAACCCCCAGTGACAGACACGCTAAGAAACATCAGATTGCTACTTGCGAGCAGTTTTCTGCAAACTGCTTTGGAGAATGGGGTATATGAAAAGCCAAATTGGATATAGAAGTCACTATA